ACGACTCTATGAGACACCAAGAAATAAGAAAACAAAGTCAAAAGAATGAGAAAAAAAGAAGAAAATGTGAATGGAAAAATGGAAAAACAACTGACCTGGAAAACAGATTGATAAGAGATAATTTAAGAATTATTAGACCACCTGAAAGCTACAATCAAAAAATGAGCTTAGACATTATATTTCAAGAAATCATCAAGGAAACCTGCCCTGGTATCTTAGATCCAGAAACAGAAATAGAAAGAAGAGATCCCAAAATGAAAACTCCCCAGGTCAGGGAAAAAATACTGCAAGCAGCCAGCAATAAACAATTCAAATATCATGGAGCCACAGTCACACAAGAATTAGCAGATTCCATGTTAAAGGAGCAGAGGGCTTGGAAAACATGGCATTATGGAAGGCAAAGGATCTAGCATTACAACCAAGAATAACTGACCCAGCAAAACTGAGTATAATCCCTCAGGAAAGAAAATGGATATTTAATGAAGCAGAGGACTTTCCAGCATTCCTGATGAAAAGACCAGAGCTGAACAGAAAAACTGACATTCAAACAGAAGACTCAAGAGAAGTACAAAAAGGTAAATATGAAAGAATAATCATAAGGGACTCAATAAAATTGAACTGTTTTACATTCCTATATGGGAAGATTATACATGTAACTCCTAAGAACTTTATCATTATTAGAGCAGCTAGAAGGAGTCTACATAGATGGATGATCTCCCACTCCAAAAACTTAAGGGGTAAGAAAGAGGGATGCACTGGGGGATGGGTGGAGGGAATGATGAATGATGGAATAGGGGGGATTTTCTCAGATATAAGAGGCTTGCAATGAAGAGTTTTTTATAGTACAGGGGAAAACAGAGGGTAGGGGTAGGGCTGGTAGGTAACGCTTGAACTTCACTCTCATTGGAATTGCCTCAAAGAGGGAAGAATACAAACACAGACACACACACACCCTCAGTTGGGTATAGAAATCTATCTTGTAGTAGTTGTTGTTCAGTGTTGTTCAATGGTATCTGCCTCTTCATGACCCTGTTAGGGGTTTTCTTGGCAAAGATACTGGAATGGTTTGTCACCTCCTCCAGTTTATTTTACAAATGAGGAACTTGAGGCAAACAGGGTTAAGTGACTTGCCACGGGTCACGTAGCTAGTAAGTGTCTGGGGCCAGATGAGTCTTCCTGACTCCAGGCCTGGCACTCTATCCACTGTGCCACCTTGCTGACCATGAGAAATCTCTTACCCAATGGGGAAATACCAGAGAGTAAGGGAATTTTAAAAGGGGGGGGATGTGATAAAAAATGGGGAAGTGTGATAAAAAGGAGGGCAGATCAAGGTAAACAGAGGTTAGAAGCAAGAGAGACTTTTGAATAGGGACAGGGTAAAAAGAGACAGAAGGCTAAACAGGGGAAAAAATAATGGAGGGCTATAAACAGTAATCATAAAATGGAAGTAGACAGAAAAATGTATTAGAAACCAGAATCTAACAAAATGTTGTTTACAAAAAACACACTTGAAATAGAAAGACACACATAGAATTAAAATAAAGGACTGGAGCAGAATCTATTATGAATCTATTAAAGCTGAAGTAAAAAATGCAGGAGTAGCACTCATGATCGAAGACAAACCAAAAGCAAAAAGATTTAACTAGATAATCAGGGAAACTACATTTTGCTAAAAGGTACCACAGACAACGAAGTAATATCAAAAAATTTTACAGTAAGTTTCTCTGATAAAGGCCACATTTCTCAAATATATATAGAATGGAGTCAAATTTATAAAAATAAGGGCCATTTCCCAATTGATAAATGGTCAAAGGATACAAACAAGCAGTTTTCAGAAGAAGAAATCAAAGTTATTTATAGTCATATAAAAATGCTCTAAATCACTAATAATGAGAAATGCAAATTAAAACAACTCTAAGGTACCACTTTACACTTATCAGAAATGATAAATGCTGAAAGGGATAAGGAAAAATAATTACACTAATAAACTGTTGGTGGAATTGTGAATTGGTCCAGCCATTCTAGAAAACAATTTGGAACTGTGCCCAAAGGGTTATTTATAAAACTGCACGTATTCTTTGACCCAACAATACCGCTGCTAGGTCTGTATCCCAAAGAGATAAAAGAAAAAGGAAAAGGACCTATCTGCACAAAAAAAAATTTTAGTGGCTCTTTTTGTGGTGGCAAAGTATTAGAAATTAAGGGGATGCTCACCAATTGGGGAATGGCTGAACAAGTTGTGACATATGATTGTGATAGAGTACTACTGTGATATTAAAAAATTATAGGAGGGTAGTTTCAGGAAAAAAAAATGGCAAGACCTATATGAACTGATATGTAAAGTGAAGTGAGAAGAACCAGGAGGTCATTGCACACAGTAAGAGCAATGTTATGATGATGATCAACTGTGAAAGACTTGGCTACTCTGATCAATACAATGATCTGAGACAATTACAAATGACTCAAGATGAAAAATTGCTATCTACCTCCAGAGAGAACTGATGAACTCTGAGTACAAACTGAAATATAATTTTCTTGTTTTATTTATTTTTTGCTTTTTTTTGGTGATATGGCTAATATGAAAATGTTTTGCATGATTTCACATGTATAATTAATTGCATTCTCAGTGAGTGGGGGAGGCATGACAGAATTTGGAATTTTAAAATTTAAAAAGAAAAGAACATGAAAAATAAATAATTAAATTTTGTAAAGGATGAAAAAAAGGAAAAATTAGTTTGGATTAATGAACAAATATATGAAAAGTTTTGGAAAAGTCATCTGAATTTAATCATCTTCCTTTCCCAATATTTAGTTGAGATACACCGAAATGGTAGGAGCTATTACGAATAAACTAGTTCCACAGTTCTAGGCTGAAGATTGTGCTGGGCAAATAGAAGGTAATGAGGAGTTGAGCAGGAGCTGTTACCCTGCCTTGACTTGGAACCACCAAATCTCAGTTCTCTCGCTGTATGTGGAAGAAGCTATATTCTATTATAAACATCTCATAAATGTCAAACCATTAAGAGGCATCACTTAAAGAACCAGTTACATAGGAAGAATTTCCAGAGAATTCTAAGGAAAGTCAACACTGACATACAATAATAGAATGACATTATTACAGAAAGAAAACAAATATTCTAATTTAATAAGAGCAGTTATAGGATTTTACAATCTCATCATTCATTCAACAAATACTTATTTAGAGCCTGTGATATATAAGACACTGTTTTATAGAATACACAAAAGGGATTTGCTCTTTGATGATTGGATTTCAATGATATGGTGGTATAAAGTTTCTTGTCATTAAATCTCTAAATCTTACAGTGCTTATGAGACAAATGAAGCTGCTCCTGTGGTTAACTTAATCAGAATAATCCTTTTAAATAAAAGGAAAATACTCTATATTACTTTCTGCTCCAATAGTAACAGTGTCCAATATAAAAGACACTGTATTAGATGTTTAACCAAACTTTAAAACATGTGACATAGTTGGTTACAATCATAAGTAAAGTCAATAGGTTATTTCTGCCAAATGCAGCAGAACTGTGCATTGGAAAATTTATCTTACCATGTAAACACAGGTCATGGTAAGAAAAGAATAAAGGAAAACATACCTGTGGCTCAGATTCCTTGCTTGGCATTGACCCAAAATGATTTAAAATTTGTGCTTTCATGTTCTCCTTAAGAGAAGTGAACCAGGAAACAGCTTGATCATACACAGAATCATGAAGATGGACAAGTTCTTCATAGTCTGGTCCCTCCACCTTATCCATGAACAAGAGAACACATAACTTGATCAATTCGTGTACTAGACTAAAAAGTCAATTCATGTACTATACTAAAAATCTACAAATATATGCAAAATACAGTGAATTAAAATCTTTAACTCATTCTTAAAACCCACTAAACAGAGATGTCACTAGTACTGGTCTTTCCTAATGACCAATTACATAGATATAGGGAATAAGAATATTACTTGAAATTTGTACAGAATTTTCTAGCTTTTATATTATGTAAAACAGCTTTCATATATATAATGTCATTTGATCCTCACAACAACATGACGTTGTCTGGGCAGGTACTTTTATTCCCATTTAACAAATGAAGAAGCTGAGGCTCAAAAAGGTACAGTCACTTGTCTAGCTTGATGAGTGGTAGACCAGAAAATGAAAACCTCAGACTTCTGACTCCAAGTATGTTACTCTTGTCTTACCAGATAACATCATCCATATTCTCATTGATGTTGAATTGGAAATGGCTTTTAACTTTAGCTTTGAGTTTTTCTGTCTCTCAACTTTTCTCAAGAAATTAATGACCCAGCAAGTCTTATAAGGACTGGGGGCAGCTAGGTGGCGCAGTGGATAGAGCACTGACCCTGAAGT